GGACAAGGAGAACAAGGCTTATCACTCACATCTACCGAATTATTGATTCTTCACCCAAGCCGAGACGAACAAAAGCACCGTGATGAATTGTTGTGTTGGTTCATAATTATGAAATATTACCATAACTCAGAAGAAAGAAACGTAAAGTTCAGTGATCTTTTGTTTACGAACAGTATCACGTCGGCTCCGCGGCTGCCACTAAAAAGTGAACGAAAAGAGAATTGCTGAGTCACCAGTTCTGTTGGAAGCCAACAGATACTTAATAAGGGCACGTCAACACAATGCTTTATAAGTAAATACAACTAATATTAACGTGTTAACTTACTCGTGGAGTTGAGCCCTTCTTGAGAAGCCGCCAGTTGTGCAACTACTCAAGAACTTCCCAGCATTTTATAGAACCAGAAGGTTCATTACCGTATTATCAAGAGCTCTACATTTGTCCCTCTCCTGAACCAGCTCAATCCAATCCATACCATCCCATTATATCTGTCTAAGATCCATTTTAATATTGTTCACCCACTTACATTTTGGTCTTCCCAGTGGTCTCCTTACTTCCGGCTCTCCCACCAATATCCTATATGGATTCGTCCTCTCTCCCATTCATGCTACATGCCCTGTCCATCTAATCATTTATGAATTAACGTTTTAACGCTGTTTTATTTTCTACACTGTTACATGTTTCGATTTGTGTCATCGTCATCAGGTGGTAACAATAAATACATAACCGTCATCACTGAATTGTTAGGCTAATATGTATCCGTATTAGTGAACATCGTAAATGAAATATTAAATTTGTGAATTTGAAATTGTGTTTTTGACATTTTTATAAAATCTTAGACGGACGCATATTAGTCCAGCAATCCAGTGATAATGCTTATGTATTTGTTGTTAACACGTCAGTATTAGTTTTATTTACTTATAGATTGTTGTTGACCACATTCAATCGGTCCGTAATGACATACAAGAGGATGCAAACAATAAAGAAGAAAGTAATTTACGAAACAAATTGTCAGATGTAGCCAGATTTTAACAGATTTCCTTACTACAGGCCTATTAACAACAAGTGCTTACTCAGAATTCTTTCAGACATTTGTAATTATTATTATTTTCTCAAATCAGAAGAACCATATTTCGCTACCGCATAAAAATCTTGGCAAAATTATTTTGTATACCTTTATGTGTAATGAACTCTTTTTGAACTGAATAATAGAAAACGGTTTGTGAATTGTTCTCTCAGTCATGACTATCATAGGCTGTTCTTTCTAAAATTTGCTATATGTTTACATTTGAAAAGGTTTTCACATGATTTGGTTGGCCTGCATTTATTTGTATTATGATCTGAATATTTTGGTTTCATACACATGGGACCCTCAACGTCTCACAACCCTATGGGCCTTCACGGCCTGGTACAGGGATAGCTTTACTTTTTTTTTATACTTTACTTCCGAATTCGGCTACACTTCACGTGTTCATATGCGCGTCATGTATATGGAGGTAATACCGTATTTACGCATGTATAGGCCGCGTGCGTGTATAGGCCGCAGCACAATTTTCAGACAGAAATTATAGAAAAAATAATTTTCTTGGAATATTATTTGAGGAGTAGAACACCCTGTATTACTAATTATGAATATCATTTTTTTAATGAAGTGTGATTTCGAATATAAGCCGCACCCCAGTTTTCCTCTTGAATTTTTGGCAAAAAATGTGCGGCCTATACATGCGTAAATACGGTAGTTTGATGCACGTCATAACGCATGTACGGCGCAATTATAAGTCACAGTGCAGTTTGTGTGGGGTCTGTATCAGCCTGCTGACGTATGGATGGTGGTGTACGGCTGATTGCATGCAAGGTCTGATTATCCGTCAGCTCAGATCCCACGGGCCAGATTACTCGAATGTTTGTTTACTTTGTTCATTGTTGTCAGCCACTTCCTGTACTTCGACACACAGTACGGTTACATCAACAGCTTCAGCTTTTTTTGGTATCCATATCCGTGTTGGGCACAGGGTGGTTCTCAGTGATGTGAGTTTCTTAATCGAAAATTAAACCGAGTTCAGCAGGCATGTAGCGGGAGACAAGCGCATTCTGAGTTCGATTGGTCGATACTGTCCAGCAGATGATGAGGGACAGTATCGACCAACGACCAGATCCTCTCCCTGTCTTGGTAAATACGCATTGAAAGATGCTTCATTATAACGGCCTTTAGCCGCGTCCATGTTCCAGTATCGTAACTCCAATCGCGTTCATGTTCCAGTATTGTAACTCCCTTCAGGGGCCGCGCCATAGCTCTAGCGGTTAGTCGCTGGCTTGCCACCGCGGTGGCCCGGGTTCGATCCCAGGTCTGGTCAAGTGGGATTTGTGGTGGACAAAGTGGCGCTGGGGCAGGTTTCCGAGTACTTCGGTTTCCCCTGCCAATCTTCATTCCATCAATTGCTCCACAATCACCCTCACCTATCAGCTGGGGCTGGTACAATAGGCCACAAGTGGCCGCAGTACAAGGGACTTAGTCCCACCCCACTAGCCATAAAAAAACTCCCTTCAGTCGTGTTCATGTTCCTGTATTGTAACTCCCTTCAGTCGCGTTCGTGTTCCAGTATTGTAACTCCCTTCAGTCGTGTTCATGTTCCAGTATTGTAACTCCCTTCAGCCGCGTTCATGTTCCAGTATTGTAACTCCCTTCAGTCGTGTTCATGTTCCAGTATTGTAACTCCCTTCAGCCGCGTTCATGTTCCAGTATTGTAACTCCCTTCAGTCGTGTTCATGTTCCAGTATTGTAACTCCCTTCAGCCGCGTTCATGTTCCAGTATTGTAACTCCCTTCAGTCGTGTTCATGTTCCAGTATCGCCCCGTTACCAGAAAGGCAACCATAAAAGAAAATCCCCTTTGCAGACACAGTGTTACATCAGGCATATACCTAACTGTAACCACCGAAGTGTCGTCAGTATGTTGCGAACATGAACGGAATTTGTACCCACGGGGAATTATGTCTTCTGTTATACACGGAGGCTCCTCTCTGTTGATATTTGGACACTGCGTACTTGTGAAACTGTTAACAGATATTTCCCTAGCCCTGTTCCCTTCACCGCAAGCTTGACCTGTGGATTTCATGGTTTGAAGAATACTTTGTCGTTCCACACATGTATGTGTATATGTATGCATGCGACGATCGCAATGGCCGCGCGGTCTAAGGCATGAACCGTCTTCGCCAGCTCGAACACAGGGATCATGGGTTCGAATCCCACTCGAAACGTGGATGTCTTTGTTTATTCTGTGTTTGTGTCGTTCTGTATGGAGGTAGAGAATATGACCGACTATGTTTAGATAAAGAAACTGAAAAAACGACCAAGATCCACAAGGGCTGTACAGTAGATGGATGTATGCATGCATTTGAAGGGTTCTGTCTTTGGGATATGATGTCGTGTAGCCTTGTAGACGCGTACAGAGCTAAATGTGTACCAGTTGAACTGCGTCACATCACAGAAGGTTCACTTTATGGTCAGCACATTGAGAACTTTAAGTCTAACTTTTATTTATGCACTTAATTATTTATTTATGGAGGCGTGTCTTTAAAATATGCATACAAGAAGCTTTAAGCCTAAAACTGCTGTAATGTGCGTCTTATATCATTTTAATTTCGAGATCATTAACATCATAATAATGAAAGACTATTTCGGCCATCCATTATAGAAATAGTCGTAACTTTCGTAGGAAAATGAATACATCTTTGTGCCCCTTTCAGTAATGCCGAGTGATCCATTTGAGATGTTAGAAAAGTAAACCGTTGTATACAAGAAGTTAATGTACGTTTCCCTGAGCAGTTTGTTTGAATATGAGCGGGAAGGATGTCCTTGTAGGGCGAATGGAAGGTTTACATGCGGTTCAGCCGCGTGGCGGCGCTAGCATATGAGAAAGAGAGAGAGAGAGAGATGGCGGTAACACCGCAACAGCGAGTACAGTGCGTCGTATGGTATGCGAAATTTTCGAGTGTTATGTGACATCTCAGGCGGATCATCCTGTACATTGGATTAAATTTTAACATGCTGTGTTGTCTTACCCATACCTTAAGAGCAAGGGATGACTCTCCCTCTTTCTTTCACACACAAACACGCGCTTGCTCCTTCTAGGCACATTTATGATTATTTCACTGCCGAGCAGACACATTACATAATAATAGGCCTATTTCATACATGAAGTCGCCAGTATTACAAATTAAAGTTCAACAACTTTGGTTTTAATTTTAATTAATTTAAGCTGAACTCGATTTATAAGCGATACTCTTTGCTAAAATAAATGAGGTTACTCTTGCTCCAATGCCGATAACCGCACCATATAACTTTCACGGGTTTGGATCGCTCGAGCCCTAGCGTCACTGTTTACAGTCTCACCCGGGACGAGGATATACGTGGTATATCTGCTGGGTTTGCTGTGTTTTCGTGCTCTTCATTGGTTTGATCCTCTTTCAAGGCAGACGCGGCAAATGTCTAAATAATCCACGGTTTCAGAACTGAATTCTGAGTCGAGACAGGTCGAGGGACCTCATGTATGAGACCCAAAGCACATGCCCACGTCTGTCATTGCGCATTTGTCCCTACCCTTTCGCTTCCCCCGTTGCATTGTTTACAATAAGGCTTTTTATATAAATTTGAATGACTCACGGAAATACATAATTAACACTGTTCTTAGCGGCCTCCGTGGGTCCCGTGTCGTAGCTTTACGGCACGTAAAAGATCCTCATGTCTCTAGGAGACCTCTGAGCAAAATTAGGCAAGGTTTCCCGCCCAAGTAGTTTCCAATGCCTCCGGTAGATGGGGAAGCATCGGGTACCACTGGCAGCCTCGCTGGCTGAACGGGGCTGATGGCGAGCACCAGTACCGGCAGGGTATGGCGACTGGTAGAATATCAAAGGGGGACGTACAATAGACTATTAGTCGCGGTTCATGGGGAAACCCACCCCCTCCAATAATAATAATAATAACACTCTTCTTGATGTTTCCAGACTGAGCTATCGCAGAACCTGCAGCAGCTGTCGGAGAAGGCGAGGTCCACAACAGAATTTATCCAGAGGCTTAAAGGAATGACGGATAAAGTAACTGTGAGTAACTTGTGTAACACATTGAACTTAAGCAATAAAATTGTGGCAACTTCTTCACTTTCTTGCTAACTCACTCACTCACGCACTCAATAGAGGAGACTCCTTGCGGAGATCAGTTTATCTTCTTAGTGACTAACAGACTAACCAAATAACCAGTCACCCATCCCGTAGAGCAGAGTCCCACTGTAGAATGTGGTAGTCGCTAAACTCCTGAAGATCATTTCAAATTCTTTTCGCTTCTTATTCGCCGTCTCACATGCAAACTCGTAGCTTCACGTCACTAATGCTCTGCAGAAGATAGTACCTATATAAGTACTTACGTGTATATCTCCTCTTGGAGGCGCGTACAAATACCTCTGACGTAGCCCTGCGAGTCGTAGGAACCGACGAAAAATTAACCCAGTGCCTGGGGGTAAAACTGCGCCACCCTGTTCCGGGGGGATATAAATACGGGGACCTGGCCCTCCAGTTTTGGAGAGTCTCGAAACTGAGACAGTAAAATATGGTCATGAGTCCCGCGGGACGCGGACCTGAGAATGACTGTGCTGGCGAGGCTCAGCAGCAGTTATAAACGATAGAAGTTTTGGCTCGGGGATCGAAGGTAAAGGATTCCGAATTGAATGATGTCAGTGCTTCTCCTTATTAATCAGCATCTTCGAGAAATGCTGGAGAAATTTCCGGAAATTTTAGGAACCAGGCATAAACCGTATTACAGATTTTGCAATACTTACATGTACCTTGTAATCAAATCCATTTTCGTCTTTGTTTCTTTCGCAGTCACATCTGCTTTACTGCTTTCAAGTGGACATCATACTCCTGAAACCCTTTGTGCAAAAGTTCCGTTCTTGTACACGTCCCGTTACGTTGGGATATTCCAAACTTGAACCATACATATTTTAAAATAACACAATTCATTATAATAATTGTATTGGTAATTTAATAAACAAGCAGTGCTATATTCTGGCTGTTCCACAAATAAGAATTGAAAATTTAAGTAATATTATTCCTTATTTCTAAATAAGTCTTTAAGTTTTGGGTGCCACAATAGAATTTGTAGTCGCCTTGATGGCCTATCACAGTTGCCGCCCGGTCTAAGGCATGAACTTTCTTCGCTCGCTCGAACGCTGGGATCGTGGGTTCAAATCCCACTCGAGGCTTGGATGTCTATGTGCATTTATTCTGTGTCTGTGCTGTCCTGTGTGCAGGTAGCGATCTTGCGACGGGCTTATTACACATTCGAGTCCTACGGACTGTGTAAAACATTAAGAAATTGAAAAGGCGGCCACCCAACAGAGGGCTGTAGAACCACAGATGGATGGACGGACGGACGGATTGCTTTTCACCCAGCCTTATAAGGAAAGGAACTAACTAAAAAAGTAGCCTCTGTGTGTTGCAGAATAGGGATGTATGTTCTATCGGCAGTTTACCGAATACGATGGAACGGAATGTATCCAGGCATATCCGCATTTGTTTGCTCATGTAGAAATGCTTGTTAGTTTTAATAACACTTGTCACATGGCTTTGACGCTGTCGTTGGTGTCATGTAGATCCGTCAAGCTCGAAGCGTACTCAGATAAGCACACCCATCCAGATCCATACATATTGATCATGGCCTCATACATATGTTCAGCTATTACCTGTGACACGTATTTATGTCTTGCAAAATCTCAGCGCTGGGTATGATCGAAAGCAAGTTGAAACGAAAAATACAGTGCTTAGAATTAAACCTCGCTGCAAATATAATCCTTACGCTTTCCGGAGTTCTGAGGATCACGACAATTTTGTGAGGGAGAGTGTTTCTTCCTGTGCTTAATTAATTAAGACTATGGGCGGTGGAGCTACATAGCTTCACCATTCTTTACTTCGTCATTACATCGAGTTGAGTGGTCAGCTTCACGCCCCTGCTGCTTTACCTCCCCCGGCGAAGAAGCCCCTGGTACCCATGGATAGAAGGCTGCGTGGGCACCAGAGTCAGTCTGGACGCTGTGGAGAACAGAAATCTTTCACTGCCGGAATCGAACCCGGGCCTTCCAGCCCATAGCTATCCCGATTCCTCTCACTCTGAGGGATGAACATAAATTAAAATGTTTGAAAACTATCTGCTTAGGAAGATATTGTGCCTAAAAAGGATGAAATTGACCGAAGGGAATAATTTAGGATTCTACGTATCAAGAATTTAATCCATGATGTGTATACAGTTGCCGTCTTGTAGTGCACTCAATTTCACCTGTTACTTCACGACATGTTTCGGTAACATAGTGCCATCATCAGGTGTCCCAATTACGCTAATCTATTTCATTGCAACAGGACGCTAAAATACAACATTAAGAATTTAATGACTGAATTCGAGAAATGTTGACTGTCATTCGGTTCAGAATCATTCGCAATTCTATCTTCTGTCTAAAACCATGAAGACTGAAATATGACTTTCAGCGGGCGTACCGTAAAGGTACCTATTGTTATACATGGGCGTGAAAACTTGATTTGTAACTTCAAGGGAAGAACTCAAATTGAGCGTCCTGGAGAATAATAGCGTTCCTTGTCCAGCGAGAGAGGCAGTAGCAGAAGGAAGGAGAAGATCATGCAACGAGGGATAAACGATTTCAATTCTTTTATTCTTACGTGCCCACTAGCTCTGCTTCATCCCCGAATGTTATGTGGGCGTGGATGGAAATGGTCATGACCTACTTGATGGCATGCTACAGTTCGCCTGAAGAGACTGAGGAAACGCACGACAAACCCCAACCGTGATTCCGAACACGTTCTTTCCAAATACAAGTCTGCCTTCCACAAGGAAAGAAGAAGAAAGAAAGTATAAATGGGAAAATGACGTTAGTAATACGTAAACTTAAGTTGATTTTTTTTCTTGTCACTACAGCCCCAGTGGGCCTAGGCCTACGTCCATGAACTTCTCCGTTCACTTCGGTTTTTCTAGATCTTACACATTCGGTAGGACTCCTTGGGCGGGTGATCAGCTCATCGCAAGGCCTCTACCTGTACACAAACACAGAAAAACGCACACACACAAACTAAACATCCATGCCCTGAGTGCGATCCGAACCCACGATCCCGGTTTCCAAGCGAGCGAAGACAGTACATGCCTTAGACCGCTCGGCTACCGTGACCGGCTAAGTTTATGAAGAAATAGAAATAACGAAATAGAAGAATAGCATTGGCAATAAGATATCAAACTGAATAGATGTATGTGTGTGTAAAGGAGCTATATACCGCAAGAATGTAGTTCTGACAACGCAGATCTATGTTTACCAGATTATAACTGAGTAAACTTAAATTTAAAAAAGGGCACGCTGTAGCGTAGTTGGTTCAGGCACTAAGCTACAAACCGGAAGGTCGCGGATTCAAGTCCCGATGAGGTCATTGGATTTTTAAATTGACCTAATCCTTCCAGCCGCACTATGGCCCTGGGGTCTACTCAGCCTCTAACAGAAATGAGTACCAGGAATCTTATTACGGGGTAAAGGGCGGCCAGCGCGTAAGGCTGACCTCACCTCCATCTGTGAGTCGATTGTCTAGAAAATGTGGGAACTTCAACGTCTCACAATCCTATGGGGCTCCACGGCCTGTTACAGGGATAGCTTTACTTTTTACCTTGTAGATAGTTTTAAGTGAATGTTTGGGTAAAATTATTTCCGAAAAACACACTGTCTATATGGGCATTATTTATTTATTTAGTTATCTATCGATATATTCTTTGATATATGTATATGTGTAAGTAAAGCTATCTCTGTAACAGGTCGTAAAGGCCTATAGGGTTGTGAGACGTTGAGGGTCCCATGTGTATATATGTAAATGTATGTTAAGTTGAGTTAGGTATGTTTTGTTTTTTAGCTTAGATTAAAGATAATTAATTATTAAGCAGTTACACTGTTCCAACTTCGGTGTCATGTTGCGTATATATATATTTCGAGCAGAGGAATTCCTGTAATGTTTGATATAGTCTCTAATGAACACACTCGTGCCATTTGTTATAAGAGCGCACACTGCATACCTCTGGTGACCCAATGTAATTTATTGACCATTGTTGCTGGTCTCTTTATGAGGAGAAAGTTGTGCTGTAGGTGTCGTGTGTTACGTTGAGGCAATATGTTTCTAGGTGATTGGTATCCTAGCGTAGCCGCAGAAGCTTCTGAGCATTATATTAAAACTATTTCTCTCATATTCCTCCGCAACTTACGCTGGAATTTCCCATCTTATGTCAGTATAAAGGTAAGGCTATCCCTGTAACAGGCCGTGGAGGCTCATAGGCGGAGACTCCCGGGGCTTCCACATTATCTCTAGACTATTGGCTCACAGATGGCGGTTAGGTTATCAGCCTTACGCGCCATCCTCTCTTTACCCCCAGGAAGATTCCTGGTACTCTTTTCTGTCAGAGGCTGAGTCGACCCCCAGGGCCATAGTGCGGCTGGAAGGATTAAGTCAATTGAAAAATTAAATGGCTTAATCGGGAATCGAACCCGCGACCTTCCGTCTTGTAGCATAGTGCCTTCACCAACTATACCGCGTGCTTCATGCCAATGTAAGTTCTTAAATGTCATTGTTAACAGGCGCGACTTGCAGTCTTAAAGTGTCTGTTCTGAATTTCGAAGATGCTGGATATCCCGATTCAAGCTGTTTACGGGTTTCCTTACATTTTCCAGGCCAGGATAGAGCCTTCAATCATTGTACGTCCACTTTCCCACCATTGACCACCGTTCACGACGCTAATTTTACTCTTAGATTATTGGATGCGAAGTAATTTCCGTAGCCGACATGACACCTTAAAGTAACATACAAACACGGTACCAAATTTAAACTTAGATTTGAGGTTTTCACGACGGTGACTATGAAGAATGACGTCTTCTTGAATGTGGCGCCGTGTAGATCTTGTGTGAACTCACGTTTCGGAGGAACATATCACCTCCATCTTCAGGGTAGAAAAATTCTCGAGCGATGAACCAGATTGAGCAGGTGGCTGCAGCCTCACTCGCTGATTTTTCTAC